TGAACAAACACCATCAGGAGGATTAAGTAAGCCTGGGTTCTCAAGACAGGCTGGAAAGTTGTACAGGACTAAAGGAATAAAACTTGCAATGGCAGTTTTTCCACTTTCGGCTCAGTCAAAATGGAAAGAGCCCATTACACTCACACATTCATTCTACAAATGTTACAACAGGTTGGAAATCTGAGACATGGACTCTACCCTCACAATATTCCTCATTAACTTTTATAAAGGGGTCAGACATTTGACAACAGTCCCTCTTCCTAGAATGGCAAGAAAGCAATGTCTACATTCTGGAGAGGAAAGGTTAAGCAGCCAGCGACCTGGGACTTTCTCCCCTGGATGGTAGGACAGCAGAGTTTGGCATTCAGCTGTGTCAGACTTGGCATTCTTCTTCAAAACAACAAAAATATCCCAACTGCCTGCCTGGTGGGTCTTGCCTACATGCTCAGGGTCTAACTCAGTGGTTCTCAACCTTTCCAGACTACTGTGCCCTTTCTAGAGCCTGATTTGTCTTGTATACTCCCAAGTTTCACCCCACTTAAAAACTTACAAAATCAGACATAATACAAAAGCATCACAGCACACTATTACTGAAAAATTGCTGACTTTCTAACTTTTACCATCCAATTATAAATCAATTGGGATAGAATTTTTGTACTTCTATTTCAGTGTATAGGATATGGAGCAGTATAAACAAGTCATTGTCTATGAAATTTTAGTTTGTACTGACTTTGCTGGTGCTTGGTACGTAGCCTGTAGTAAAACTATGCAAAGATCTCGAGGAGTTGATGGACCTCCTGGAAGACCTGTGCGTATGTCCAAAGTACTCATACCCCTCGTTGAAAAACACTGGTCTAACTGATTGACCCAGGGGAAAATTACTTCCTGACCCCAAATATGGCAGATTGGCTGAGACCCTGGGGGAGGGGTTTGCCTTCCTTTGCAGCATGGGGCACGGGTCATCTGCAGATTTAAACTAGTGTAAATGGTGAATTCTCTGTAACTTGAAGTCTTTAAATCACGATTTGAGGACTTCAGTAACTTAGCCAGCTTAGGGGTCTATTTCAGGAGTGGGTGGGAGAGATTCTGGGGCCTGCAGTGTGTAGGACATCAGACTAGCTAATCACGATGGTCCCTTCTGACCTTAAAGTCTGTGAGCCTATGAGACAAAAAAATCCCAGGCTAAGGCCATGTCTACACTACACAGCTTTTAGCGACACGGCCTGGTTGACATGGCCGTGTGAACGCTGTTTGTTGGCACTTTTGGGGTTTGCGCTGTCGACAGGAGAGCGCTCCAGCAGACAACGCGGGCATTCACACAGGCACTTGCCGCGGCAAAGAGGGGTTTAAGTACCTGTGAACGACAAAAGTTGTGTCATTCAATTTGCAAGTGTAGACATAGCCTAAAAAGAAGAACAAGACGAAGTCACTGCACACATCTGGGAACATATTTTCATGCTGGTAAAGGAGGAAGATTATCCCCCCTCCCTCCAAAAACACAAAGGGAGGGTCATCGTAGGTTTGCTCCACTAATGCAAGATAGTAATTTAACTGCCAGTTAAAACTTCTAGTAATGAATGAGGTAACCTAGATCAAAGTAAACAAACGGCACTTGTTCGATGCTATCAGCGAGTGAATTGTATCTTGTTAAAAAGGACTGACAAGTTCAAGGTCTTCCCAGGAAGACTAATACCTTCAATCAAGGATGCTGTTTAAAAAGCCAGTTTCAGGTGGTCACCTCTCCCATGCCCGATGAAGAATTCTCTGATTAGGAATCAGGCTAGGAAGCAATTTATGTCATTGACCATATCAGCTCTCCCAGACTTTAGCCACAATTTTAGTCTCCCATAAACTACGCTTTTTAAAAACCCAGGCAGCAAAAGCTGTCAATATTAGACCACACCCACTAGAACATGAATAACTACACACGGGCTTTTATTTTAGGTCTAGTTATTCAGACTAGAGAGCAAAACTGCAAGGGTCATTAAAATATTTTCATTATTTTAAATTTTAAGCCCTGAGCCAAGGAGCTGTGCAACAAGAATTAAAAATGCAACACAAAACCTTTTTCAAACGCACTGAAAATATTGAAGTCACCCAACCAAAAGAATGCTGGCAGATTCCGCATGTATGCAGTATGTACGTTCCAGAAGCCCTTCTTTAAAACCTTTATATTTTTCACAGACTGCAATGAATTCCCACCAGATCACCAAATGACACACACCAGACTTCAAGTTTCTCTCTCAAATCTTTTGAAGCTGTTCAAAAAGGGAAGCGAAAGGCTTTTAATATAAATGGGACAGTTACGTTCTCATACAGCTGAACTATTTTTGCTAAAAAACTTTACCAAAAACTGTCACTTCTGGGATCGAAGCTAGGGTGCCACATATTTCCGCAAAGAAGGTAAAGAAACTGGAAGAACTAGGAGAAGTTGAAGATGAACCTTTCAAATGGAGATACTTGTACAACCTTCATTATTGTTGTTGCTCCATGCACCATCCACCAGGAGATCAGATTTCTTTTTAGTGTTCATTTATTACACAGAAGCAGATTACGGTGGGCAGTTTTAATCTGATAAACTAGATGTCAATATGACATTTAATGCTTCTCCACAAAAGCTTCAGATTAAGCCAGCGTATTGTGTATAGTTGGGCCAATGTCAGAATCAGTGTAGGATTTACAGTAAACTAAAGGAGTCAGGTCTATGGAATTTTGCGTGGAACTTACTGAAAGCAGGACTGATCCAAATTGAAGACAGGAGGTTTACGGTTCCTAATTTTGGAAACCTAAAGTCACCTCATCTGAAGCCTTTGTCCATAATCAACTGCTCCTTAGAGATTATATTACCGAGTACTAAGGCAGTTACCTAGTACGGTAATATAGGCTAGCAAGACCTGCAGGCGGAGTCAGTAGGAAAGAATAGTTTTCTTCCATTCTGGAAGACAAGGCAAGATGTCAAAGGGTACGTCTACATGGCAAAAAGCCCTCAGCAGCAACTCTCAGAAGTGACTATGGAGCTAAAAACAAACAGTTCCCGAGCCCAGGCTCCAGCCCAAGCGGAGACCCTCCCCCTTTGCCAGGTTTCAGAGCCCAGGGTCCACTCTGAGCAGGAATGTCTACAAGGCTATTTTTAACCCCACAAGCCTGAGTCAGTTGCCTCAAGCTTTGAGGCTCTTATTTTTGCAGTGTAGACATACCCTAGGACAGCTGAGAGCCAAGCAGGGGACGATGGTGCATCTACAAAGGGGAGTTTGGGAGAAAGGAACGCATTTATGTGGAGCTGAAATGACCTGAGTGAGAGAACTCTAGAGTTAAGGCAAGAGCCGCTTTGACAGTGCCAGACTGACCAAAAAGAGGTGGAAATGACGTTCCCTGACTGCTTTATCTCAAGAGTAAATAGAAGGGAGGGAAAGGAAGAGTCACTGAAGGGGTTGGAATTGATGGTGCCATTAGAGTAATTCTAATCTGCTGGGCAAATACAGGTCATGGGGTGCATCCAAATAGGAAAACTGTAGACAGCAGACAGCGTGTACCAGAGCCAGCAACTGCTCTCTTGCGGTCAGCAGGGCCCAGCTCACAAATCCAGTTCCAGCAGCATACAGCCAAGTCTGTACTGTAAGAGATTTCTGCCAAAACGAGCACCAGAGTAAAGCTTTACTCCGTCGTCTCTCTTTGCAGCCGACCCCTTCTGCCTTTCAAAGGGGCAGGAACTAGCTAGTTGGCTGGTGCTGTTCAGCTTTTTTAAAAGTTGGACACTTTTGCTCTGACAGTTCAAGCAAACTCACTCCCCAAAACTCTTCAAACCCAAATGTAAAACCAAAGCACCCAAGACTACGCAACCGTTTCACCCACAGAAATAGGTACAGCCATTAAATAACCCCATAGAAAATGGGTTATCAATATGAGCCTGAGCAGAGTCCGCAAGTCAAACATCTTCACATTAACTCAGCTGAGTCAGGCCTTCCCGTGGAGTGCGTCTTAGCAGTTGCTGCAAGCGCTCGTAACTGGAATGATGTTTCCAAATCAATCCCCTCCTAACCCAGATAAAGAGACATGGAGTCAGCCACACGTTTGCACCAAGCAATCCAAATGATTCACGTGCTAAGAAAATAACTTGCGTTCCCATCTTCCGAAGTAAGAGGGGTAAGAGAGAGACCCATTTGACACAGCCTCTGTTTATCCCATGGGGCCCCTCAGACAGAGCTTCAGTAGTATCGGCAAGCAGGCAGCAAGAAGTCTTGGAATATGCTTGCTGCCTCGAAGCCTGCATTCTTCTCTTGGTTATATGAAAGGTAGGGACTGCCTCTTCTCCTGCGAGGACAGGAAAGCAAGAGCTACACTTTTTCAACAGTCACTGCCCCAGCAGAGTCATCAGACTTAACAGGTGTGTGTTTACCTAACATGGGACAAAAACATACTTTGTTCTTTAACTTTAAATAACTGGAGGCTGGTGATGACATTTTCCTGGCAATGCATACGAACACACCACTTATGGAGACAAACACAGTGGATCTCATACACAGACTGGAGGTGGATTTATTCCACCATCACAGATATTCCACCTAGACGGTCCATCTGCTGCAGGTTGGCCCAACCATATGCTAGATGATCACTCTAAAAAGACCAAATAAAAACCAGTCAATTGAGAGGTTTCTTTTCCCTTATGAAAGGGCAATGTCAGATGGCTTCCTTGTTTTGTTAAGGGAGGAGCATGACAATTGAGCTCATGTTAGCTAAAAAATTCCTCATTTGTACAGCATCACCAGTTGAGGACGCCAGGAACCGCACTGGGTCACTTACTATGTGGCCAACAAGAAGGCCGTCTTAGTTAACTCTAGTATTTCAAATCCAAAGGGACATCCCTACCAGAGGCCACCCATTTGAGGTGGGTAGGGGGAACTCCACATTAGATCTGACAGCATACCGCTTGAGCTGAATCTGGTTTCACTCCTGTTACTTAAAAACACTGACTCTATTTACGATTAAGCTGCCTGACTTACCCAGTTCTTTAGATCCTTGGCTTTCACTGGCCAACTCCCCCATTTTAACCAGAGCATCAAAATATCCTTTTGCAGCATACGTTACACCTGAAAAACAATCAGGAAATAGTTATTCATTAGCTTCAGGGCTTATAATAATTTCTACAATGCCTAACAGGGTGCTAGACACTGTACAGGACAAACAGACAAGGGCCCTGGCCCTCAGAGCTTGCAATTAAATTTGAGGTAGGAGACAATGAATGGGGGTAATAAATTCGCAAGGAGGGGATCAGGATGAGGCAGGGAAAGGGCGACAGCATTAAGTTTATGGGGTTATTCAGACAAAAAAAGAGCACTTAAGAACTGGATACCTTTTCATAAAAGCTCCAGCACGACTATCGTTACCTATAATAATCATTTTATTGTTCAGGAAAATCACTGCTAAATAACAGAACACAGACTTTCATTACAGTTCATTCTTGTGGCTAGTTTGTTGACATTGCAACTACACGCATCACTTTTAATCAGATAAGTGGGAAGGGGGTTCCTCTAATCACAAGAACATGGTCAACACTCTTAAATTATGTGCCAACATGTGTTACTGATCAAGATAATTTCTTTAGGTGCCCTTCACAAGGGCTACAATCAGAACTACAAAATAATAGAAAGGCAATTTAAAAAAAAAAGTTACAGGAAGCCTTGTGCTGTAATGTTTAGTCTGGATAGGGAAGGGAGGCTACAGTCAGGATCTCAAAGCAGGTTTTCCCCAGAGTGCTTTCAGAGATCAAGGGTAACATGTTGATTTTACTCTAGGCATAGGTTTAAACAAAACCACACCCAACAAATACACACTCAGATTAAGTTAGCAACATTTTAAATAAGAGGCTCCATTTCTTGTCCAGGTCATTCAGGGATGTATTATTAAATAAAATTACCTTTATTCTCAAATACAAACAGCTTTTTTGCCTGCAAGATTTTGTGCATTTCTTCCCCGGGAGGAATTTGATTTTTAAATGCAGCCCACACAGAAGGAGAGACTTAAAATGAAATTAATAAGAAAACACCCACCAAATTCCTGAACCACAATTTAGTTAAGGTTGTTTAACGGAGCTGGAAGTCACTGCTGCAAATAAGGCACCGTTAAGTACCAGTTCCCCAGGAGATTACCGCAAAAACAATTCTATTTTTCTTTAGTTTGTGGAGAGACTGCTAAGTGAGTCCTATTGGTTATCTACAGCCGGTGCATGCGTGGGGATTAGGGGTGGCTGTTCAAAGGAGTCGTCTCTGAAATCTCAGCCAAAGGATGTGATACTGCAGAAGTCTGAGTCACCAGATACAGGGGGCTTTTTGTTTTTTTTTTAATTAAAAGAAGGAGGGCTGTAACTGAATGCAGAACTTAAACAGGCAGGTAGAGATAGGAACTGAACTCTAAGGATCCCAGGGCCCTCTACAATAGAGGTTTTCAAACACTGATTCTTAGAACCTCAGCTGAATCCTTAGGGACTTTTCTCTGAAGGTAAGAAGCAATTAAATTCTATACACCAGCTCAGTTCTGAGAAGAAACCGCCAATAGGGCCCAGCTGGATTCAGATCAGAAAGCTTTATAAAATGAGCGCTACTGCGTATTTTCAAGGTTGGAGTCCATCCAGCTCAATCATCTGCACTTGCTAGGCTGCAGACCTCTAACCTGCTTAGACACCAATAGCAAGAACTAGCAAAAAGCAAACGGGGAGGTTAGGGAAGGGTTCAGACCCAAAGGGGACATGGGAAGGTGGTACTATATAGGAGTTGGTAGTTTCCATCCAAACATTATTTTGGGGAAAAAATCTCAAGACTAAAATCAAGGTGGAGCTCTGATTTCACATGATCACACTACAAATTAGATACATTATACTTTACTTTAAAGCTCAGACTTCACTTTGCTGTGTACCCCTTTCCATAAAAGGATGCCTCAGGACAGACTCACTTGAGAACTGGACTATAAGATGTTTTCATGGAGCTCCTTTAAAAGTATGAACTTGTTCTTTTAATTAAAAAAATATATATGCAACCACCTAATGAAATGTTTTTCCCATCAATCAAAAGACAGATGGGAAAGGTACATATGACAACAGGATCTTCACAAATGGAGAGAGGGTCCCTAAGGAAGGGAAAGTCTATCCCATCGCTCAATTTAAAAAAAAAAAAAAAAAAACAATCTGGGTAACAGAAAAGGAGGACTTGTGGCACCTTAGAGACTAACCAATTTATTTGAGCATGAGCTTTCGTGAGCTACAGCTCACTTCATCGGATGCATACCGTGGAAACTGCAGAAGATCTTTTATACACACAAAGCATAAAAAAAAAAAAAATGGGTGTTTACTACAATCTCTCCCCCCACCCCACTCTTCTGCTGGTAATAGCTTATCTAAAGTGATCACTCTCCTTACAATGTGTATGATGGAAATGGCCCACCTGATTATCATACACATTGAGTGGTCACTTTAGATAAGCTATTACCAGCAGGAGAGCGGGGTGGGAGGAGGTATTGTTTCATGGTCTGTGTGTATATAATGTCTTCTGCAGTTTCCACAGTATGCATCCGATGAAGTGAGCTGTAGCTCACGAAAGCTTATGCTCAAATAAATTGGTTAGTCTCTCGGGTGCCACAAGTCCTCCTTTTCTTTTAGTGTGGCCCATAGTCTGTGACACAGTCATATTGTCTCATCATGCAGAGGTGTAAGATGACAGCATCTGCCATGCAATGTTGTGAAATGGTTCAACATGGATCATTGTTTATGGGGTACATATTGAAGCCTGGAAGTTCTTTTGTGGGTCAGCAATCAGGTCTTTGGGACATGGAACATTATCCTAGAAGTCTTCCCAGTGCGCCTCAGGATGTAGTGAGGGCTCTTTAAAGAGCGTTAGCTCAATCCCAAAAAGGCTTATGAGATTTCAAGCTTCTCTGAAAGGTTCTGGAGGTCCTCGTGAATTGGTAAGTTCAGGCTGGCCATGGCTCGCTCGTACTCATGAGCTGTGTGGGAGTCTCTCCAGATCTTGAAGAAGGGTGTATATGCCACATTGGACAACCATTGAACAGGGTTGATTTTAATGACCCAGTTAGAATTCTCAGCGCAGCATTAAGCTGCGTGTCCAGAGATTTGGTATGCAAGCTCCCCATCTGGATTGGTGCACAATATTCAAGAACTGAGCATACCTGTGCCTGAGTGGCAGTTCAAAGTGTGCGAGCATCAGTGCCCTGTATCACGCATGCAACTTTTTGCACAAGGTTAGCCCTTGCTCTTAGCTTTTTACGCATCTTTTCCATGTGAACGTCAGAAGTCAAGCTTCTGTGCAAACTTATACCCAAGTACTTCAGAACGGTTAGAACAGCTGACTACAAAAAGGTGACATTAAGTTACTCCCTGGCTGCTTTGTTGTTGAGGTAAAAGGCTACCACCAAGCTTTTGGAGGCATTGGGCCGGGGCTTCCAGTTCTGGAAGTATTTTGCTATTTTCTTGAGCTTGGTGGAGACGCTGTCACTAATGGTGATGAGGTCTTTGCCTTCTGCCGCAAAAGAAATGTTAGCATAACAAAAGAAAAACCCTGTACAAAATTATGAGAGGTAAGTCACTAATATAAATGTTAATAGTGAAGAGACAAGCACAGATCTGTGAGGTAAACCCTCATCGAGGGTGTGTGCTTTGCTGATCTGCCCAGTCGAAAGGACACAGCATCTACTTGCTCAAGATTGTGGCCAGGAGTCATACAGTGCTACAGCATTTGATGACCCTTGATGCCTTGAGCCCAAATCTCCACATTGTGTCATAGGCGGTGGATAAACCTATCAGCGTTGTTCCAATTTCTAAAATTCGCTGGAAGTCAGCCTCTGGTCACAGCAGCTTCCTCCTGGTCTGAAACCAGCCTGCTCCTTTGGCAAGATAGCCTCAAAGACAGGGTGAGACACACCAGTAAAACCCCTCCCAGTAACTAGGGATCACTGATGGCATCATTGGATGGTTTTCCAGGTCTGAGGAGAGCAACGACTGTTGTCCTGCATCAGCTTTTTGGGATCTTCCCTGTCGAATGCACAGCATTTAACAGGTCTGCCAGCCATGCTTGTCCCTTTGGCCCCTGAGTCTTAAGGAATCTGGGATAAATATCGTCCTCCCCAGCAGCCCTTCCCCTTTTATTTCTTGTTCATTTCTTCTGCAGTATGTGGCAATGGCGGCAGTGAAGTGGAAGGACTTTGGACATTTAGAAAAAGCACTTTCTGAACAGTCTGTCTATCCAGCTCATCTGTCTGGGTCCTCGGATTACAGGGGAGGTGCAAGGCGACACCATTGGCCATCACTTTCGGTTGCTAGCATTTTACCAAGTCAGCTGCTCCAACCTTAAAAAGGAGCCTTCAGGCTGTGAGACTTGAATGACCCTCTATTGTCTCATTCCCTCCCTTCAAGCGTGCAGAGTTCAATGGCTTTATCAGTGCTTCTGCAGTGTCTGGCTCACCATTCCTCCCTATTCCTTGAGGGGTACTTCTGTCTCCAGGGGCCAGCCAGGAATACAGACCTTGCGATAGCCATGAGAAAGGGGTTTTGCAGAAGCTTTAATAAGAAGGTGAACAAAGCACTCAGTCACCAACTGAAATTAATAGGCAACAAAAGGAAGTATTTTTTTTTAACACAACGCACAGTCAACCTACGGAACTCTTCGCTGATGTTGTGAAGGCCAAGACCATAACAGGGTCCAAAAAAACTAAAATTCATGGAGGATAGGTCCACCTATGGCTATTAGCCAGGATAGGCAAGGATGGAGTCCCTAGCCTCTGTTTGCCAGAAGCAGGGAATGGGCAACAGGGGATGGATCACTTGATGATTACCGGTTCTGTTCATTCCTTCTGGGGCACTTCGCATTGGCCACTGTAGGAAGACAGGATACTGGGCTAGATGGACCTTTGGTCTGACCCAGTATGGCCGTTCTTATGTTCAGTTTTCTCAGATCAGCTGGACACGATGCAGCCTTTCAACTTCTGCAGCATATGCAACCCAGTTCAGTTTGCAGAAGTTTCGGCATGGTTTCAGCATTGATTCAAGCAACAGACCTTCAAAGCCGCCATGCACAATAACAGGCTGTGTTGGTTGCCAGGAAAGTTTCCCAGCACCAGTTGTGAAGCTTGCAGAGGAACATTTACTGTCTTTCCTCAGACAACAGAGGTCCAGATTGTGTTCAGTATTTCCTCTGAGCACGCAGAGATCCCTTCATTGTTTGGGGTCTAAAAGAAGGTGTATGGTTATGAACCAAGCCCAACCTGTAAGCTGCTCACCAGCTGCATCATTTCTGCTATAGCCCCATCGCGAGTGGTGACTATCGAAATCACACCAAGGTACAAAGCTGGGTGGGAACAAGGAGGCAATACAGGCTTCAAGACTTGGAGGTTTATAGATGTTCACAGATGTTCATTGTGGTCAGATGTCCAATTCTTTTCACGGTAATAGAGATGCCCATGATCTTGGATTCCTCCAGGGCTGAGATATCTTTAAGACTATGCCTGATGTACACAGCAAGGCCAAATTTGGTCATTCATGGTGGTCATGAGTTGGCAGCCATGAATTCTACATCTTACAGCTCGCTCACAGTCTGCAGCACGAGCTTCTTGTAGCATAACCACGTCAATGTCACCCTCCTTAGGCACTCCAGAAAGATTGTCAGACTTAGCATATGACAGACCTTCCACATCAAGTTGGTGCACACCGCGGCTGTCCTATGGGTCTCCTGTGCTGTGCTAGACAAGGACTCTTAAATTTCGCATTGCTAATCCTATCAGGAGATGGATATCCGGTGGCTTTCAGGAGCAAGATGACAACCGTCAAGTGACGCTTCTTTTACGGGTTATTATTAACTCAACGCACATTGTCAAAAAGCTACCAGACACCGATGTGTCAATCTCCTGTAGGATCAGCAATGTGAAATCTATAGCCAGACAACCTGCCACAAAAGGGATGACACAGGAAGCATTGCGTGAAGTTCACTGCTATCCAGGAAATCAGACTAAGTGATCATAGTGGCCCCTTCTGGCCTTAAAAATCTGCGAATCTATGAAAGCCAACAGGTCATTTAAATTTGTGTTTCTTTAACTACCTCCAAAAAGGACCGGATATTCCAAGTGAGTGACTTCACATCTGAGGAAACTGGGGTTATTTAGTCTGCGGAAGAGAAGAGTGAGGGAAGATATGGTAGCCTTCAGCTACCTGAAAGGAGGAAGGGGGGGTCCAAAGAGGATGGAGCTAGGCTGTTCTCAGTGGTGGCAGATGACAGAACAAGGAGCAATGATCTCAAGTTGCAGTGGGGAAGGTCTCGGTTGGATATTAGGAAACACTATTTCACTAGGAGGGTGGTGAAGCACTGGAATGCGTTACCTGGAGAGGTGGTGGGATTTCCATCCTTAGAGGTTTTTAAGCTTGACAAAGCCCTGGTTGGGATGATTTAGTTGGGGTTGGTCCTGCCACAAGCAGGGGGTTGGACTAGATGACCTCCTGAGGTCTCTTCCAACCCTAATCTTCTAGGATTCTATTTTAAGAAGTGGTTAGCTATACTACCTAGCTCTAGGCACTCCCAGCCATGAAATGGCAGCCTTTAAAAATCAGAGAAAAAAAAATTAAAATCTCCATTTTAAATAAGGATTTTTAAAACAATATTTTATTCATATTTAAAATGGCAAGATGGTCTTTTAAAAAAAAAGAAGAATGCAAATATATGGTTCTCACCCCCTACTAACAGCCAAATCTTTACTGCTCAAGCCCTTTCCAAGCTCATCATTCTTAAGGTGCTTCGGGGACCAGGCTTCTTCAGGCACCGAGTGCCTGGGACAGGCTTTGTGCCTCTTTGTCGTATCAGGACTTGTTTTTAAATATGAAAAACCACTCTGCAATTTCCCCCCGCCCCAGGGGGAAAAAGGCATCCAGTAACATTTCAAAATTCCAGAACGCTGCCCAGCTGCACCCAGTATGTCAGTATGCCTCTGCCCAGAACCCTCCCCCCTACTACCACGGGGGTTTCAGCACTGAATGCATTTGCAGTGCAACTTCACTTACTTGCCAAGGCTTTTTCATAGTTCTTGCCCATGGAAATGAAGTTCCTGAGGCTGGGATTGTACTGTTCCATGATCGTCTGAAGGAGAGAGCACAAGAAGCGGGAAATGTTAGCAAAGCTGGTTGGGCGAGGGACAAGCAAGAACCAGAAGGGCTCCCTGCAGCAAGACTGAGCATCTCCAGGTCTGTTTTGTGTACGCACACAGAGTGGCTGATTCACCACATAGCTGTGCATGGCAGCATGTGTGTAAGTCCCAGAAGCAGAGAATCCTCCCACACAGCCCTCTATAGACAAACACAATCCAAACTTACTGACGTTTTACAGGAGGATGTTGGCTGCACATACACAGCCCGGTTTTAAGTACGGCAGTGTTTTATGAATAATTCCAGACATCATGAGGATTTTCTTTTCCTAGAAGGATATTTATTTTTTCCAGCACTGGCAATATGAAGCCCAAAGAGTAATAGGATCATAGGATGATATATGATCACAGCAGCTGGGGATAAACTAAACTAGAATCATTCCTAAATCAAATGGATAACACAGCAGAGTTGACAGAAAGAGAGCTGTTTGGCTAAATAGAAGTACTGTTCATATTATCTATTTTGTATTTATAACCCATGTATTGTCTTGCCCTTTCTTGAAAGGACACATAGGTGGCATTATCAATGTAGAAATATATTTATGGAGTACCAAGAATGCTTTTGTACCTGGATGTAACACCACGTGGTAGGTATGCCAAATTGCATTTTGTGACACTGTAGAGAGAAAGGTGTATAAAGGACCAAAGCACCCATTCATGCATCTTCCTTTGACAGTATCTGCAAAAACCTTCTAAAAAACAAAACAAACGGACTGCTTTCCCCCCTAATTTCTCAGTTTAGTTATAATATTTCAGACCATATGTTTGCTTCAGCTCTCAGTATATTATAATATGGTAAAATGTGTGGAGTAGAATTTTTAAATATTTCTACTCCTAAATGCAAGCTAAAGAGAACATACATATTCGCTTCTTGCATAGGATAAACACACCCTCCCTTTTGGAAGAATGAATGGGTAGCAACCACAGCAATACCAGCGAGGGGGTGATATTCAGAAAAAGGCAGGCTTCTCTTCACTTACACTGCATTGGTCATTACTCAGCAACTGTTGAATCAGCTCAATGGATTAAGAAAGAGGATGGAAGGAACCCTCATTTTCTTTTATCATCAAGGGCAACTCCTCCACAGAGCTACTCCTCAGCATGTGCGCCAGCAGCCTGCCATTTGGCACAGCACGGATACCTAGCATGAGACTGAGAACCCAGAGATAACAGCAGCCCCCAGGAACATCCTAGGAACTTCTCCTTCAGCCCCTCTGGCTGGCATGAGCCAGAGCAGAGTCTCGTAAAGGGTTAGGGTTGGACCTATAGATTCCTGGTTTTGATACAGTCACTGCCCATTGATAGTGAATTGTTGGACAATGGAGCTAATTAGGTGGCACTCTCAGGCATTTCCTAACAGAACATATGTACCACGGCTGATCCCAAAACCCCCTCACCACTTGCCTGGAATTTGCCTTTAGTAATTTAAAGAACACGGAACCACAAAACACTCAGCCTGAGCTCTCTCCTGCACTTCTGTGCTCTTAAAACTTCCCCCCCCCCCCCAGTACCTCTCAGTCTTAGCCCCACCCCCAGAAAGAGGCTTAAACCCCCTTATGCTACTGCATGGGCACCAGGAGGACTCAGCTGATCAGAAATAGTGAGTCAGCAGAAATAACTTTATAACCATGCAATAATCTAGCATCTGGGGGAGTCTGTAAAAGAGCTCTGTCCCAGACCTTGCTACCTTGTCACAGGAACTTTTAAACAAGTGACAATTAAGAGATAATTTAATGCACTGAAGAAGATTTAAACTAACAAAACAAGTTAAAGGTGGATTACTCGGTCTGGCTAGTCCAGAATTATCTAGTTCTGCACCAGCCTTTCCCTTCAAGAGCCACCATAAGTCAGACCAACTGCAGAGCGGACAATGCATGGCAAGAGGGAATGCATCATTCAAGGATTGCCCTGGGTATCACCGTAGGCCAACATCAGTCAGATCACTCACACTTGACAGAAGAGGATTTGGAGTAAGGTATTAAAAAAAAGTTATTTAAGAGCCAATGACAGAATAAAATGGCAATCACACAGTGAATGCATCCTTCAGGCAGGGTTCACTCCAGCCTGGGATCAGGCCGTGTGCAACACGGCAGAACCTGTGTTCAGAATGGCTGGTATTGCAGCTTCTTGTAAGGTCTGTTGTAGTTGGAAGGGAGGGGACAGGAAATGCCAATACACCAGAGACACTTTCTGGATAGGGAGGGTATTTTCACTTCAGTGGGAAAGTGTTGACTTTTTTCCTAGCACTACATACAGTGATCAGATCTCTACCAAAGAATGGATCTTTGTAAGTTTGTAGCAGGCTATGAATGGCTTGTCCTACCCTGCTCTGCTCCAATAAGTCATTCGATCTCCTTGTAACTATTGCATCTTAAAAACTAGACCCCAGTTCTCCAGCTGAGCTCTGTGGGAAGGAGATAACCAAGTCTCCTTCTTCTCACGGACCCTTGAACTTAACTCTGGCTGTATAGGGCGAGCAACCTGGCAGCTAACACAAGCCAGGGGTAGCTACTGGATATTTCAGAGTAGCAGCCGTGTTAGTCTGTATTCTCAAAAAGAAAAGGAGGACTTGTGGCACCTTAGAGACTCAAATACTCCTTTTCTTACTGGATATTTGCCTCTCTGTCTTTGGAGAGAGTCCCCCACCCACCTTCAGTGACAAGCACTCTGGGATAAGCAAGGGCCAGTCGACAAGGACAGGGATATGAAATTCAGTTTAATACCTAAATATCTTTGTGCCCTTAAAGCGTGAATGAGCATTCCCATGGGGAAGGAGGGGGTGGCCAGGCTCTCACCCTCACACCACAGACTGTTACACATTTCTGGAAGGGGAGGGGAGGGGACAGACAGACCCTTATGTTGAATAAGCTGATTAAACATCTGTCACCTCATTTGAAGCTGACCAAACACCATAAAGCTCATTTTCCGCCTGAAGCATTTTTATTCTTAGTTCCTGGTGCCTGTTCTTTTGAGGCTGAGAGACTGTTTACAGTAATTTGCTTCTGCAAATACATTCACAGCCACTGATGTTGATCAGCATTGCTAGGTCTTTGCCATCTCACAAGTTTAGAACAGCAGGTTATTAATTTCAGTAAGCTGCCATCTCACCATGGGATACATCTGAGCACAGAGGCTGCAGTTTAATACACTATTTAGTGGTAATACTTTAGATTTCAGTGTTTGTTAGCCCAGGAATGTGTTTTAATCCTCAGCAATGGCTTTTCTCCAGCACTTTTCCTAGCAGGCCAGCAAGAGTGAGAAGTGAGCACTGAAGCCTGTCAGCTGACCCAGGGAGAGGACCACCTCTGTCCTAGCTAGAAACTCACTGCGCTCTGGGAAACTTTCCAGAGAGACCAAAAGAGCAAATATCTAAGACAACATTCATCTAAACTAGATCCAGCTGCAAAGCCTCAGCGTGAACTCCCCCTGCCACCACCCTGGCTTTGAAGGCAGTTGAGCAAAAGGTAGAGAGATAGGGTTAGATTTGCATTGCATAGTTCGCACACAGTACTCCTCCAAGGGAGGAGATATACCCAGGGAGTCTAGAGTGTGAATGTTAAATGTTAGTATGTAGGGCTCAGTAGGAATTTTACTGCTAATTGAACACTGTTGGTCACCCTTTGTCGTTTGGTTCAAAATATTTCAGACAAACGCTTCTACAGCTTTTAGTGAACATTCTGATTGTTAGAACAAAATGACCCTGTAGCAACAAGCTGTTTCATGGATTATCTTCCATAATTATAGGAGGCAATTACCTATGAGAAGTTAGCCACCACTAAGGGACAGAGAATTCACATATCATTCCTTAGGTCACATTTAATGCGTGTGACATTTGGTAAAGAATTATGCCCGCAAGTTACTACTAGTTCCTGCATGTTCCTTCCACCGACCAACCTATGGTCTCTCCACCACCATTTACAGCAAGCTGGACAACTCTACCGCATACATCAGTTAGAAATGAGACCAGTCCCCTTTCTCCACCCTTCAAAACACATGGCAACCACCATCATCTCCGGCAGAGCTGTTTCAACCATAAGCTTTTCTCCATTCAATGCTCAGCCCCAGCAATCCCAGGCTGGGCAATGTTTACACAGAAGACATATTGGCAGGATTTCTGTGAGGAAGGATTTTGAATGTTTGTTTGGTTAACGGCAGTAAAAAAAAAACAAAAACAATATAAAAAAAATCACTTTTGCAGCAGTGTCTGAGGGGACATATATCTTATCCAAGGAAAAGACTTAGATACATAAAATAATTTAATGGAATCCACAGGCTGAAGATAGCATTATCCCTAATCAGAACACACACAGAGCTCTTATTGCTACAGCAAGAATTTTAACAGTTTCCCATGAGTCATTGCAAGGCTGGTCGCAGTGGGCTGCCTTGCACAATGCATCTTTGGGACCTGCAAGTCAAACCTACTTTATTTTCTTGGGTGTAAACTCCATGCCCCCTGTCTGAAACAACCCTGGACCTGGTTGTAAGCCCTGTATGGGGATTAACCTGCTGCACAGGTACAAGCAACAGAGGTAAATACTCTTTGTAAACACAGGTTTCCGAGTGGCAGCCGTGTTCATCTGTATCAGCAAAACCGAGGAGTACTTGACACCTTAGAGACTCGCTATGGTGCCACAAGTCCTCCTTGTTTTTGTAAACACAGTGCATCTTGCGGATAAGAAGGGAATCGAACACAGGGCTCATCCCTAGATGTAAAAAGAACAGGAGGACTTGTGGCACCTCAGAGACTAACCAATTTATTTGAGCATGAGCTTTCGTGGGCCACAGCTCACTTCATCAGATGCATACTGGGGAAAGTACAGAAGACGTTTTTATACACACAAACCATACACACACCAATATTACCAGCAGGAGAGTAGGGTGGGGGGAGAGAAAACCTTTTGTAGTGGTAAACATCCATTTTTTCCATGGTTTGTGT